CCGACGGCGCCGGGACCGCCGCGACGGAGCAGGCTGGGCAAAGTGCCGAACTGGGCATAGCTCAGTGTCACAGCGTTCTCCTCCGTGGGCGGAAAGACACTCGCCCAGGCCGGTTCTCGCTCGCCGTGTTCCAGATAGTCTTCGAGGATCTGCAGCGCGTCGAGCACAGGCTTCGGGTTGCACGGCTCCTGCGGTTCCGGCGGAACGGCTTCGTGGATGACGAGTGCGTCGTTGGCGATTTTCAGATAGTTCCGCCGCGTGAGCGTTTCCTTGTCGCGGAGCGTGGCCTCAAGGCGCACGATGTTGCCCGCGCCAATGAAAACCGCGGGCTGCACGCGCTTTTCGAAGCCCTCCACAACCGAGAGGTGCAGGTTCGGGATCTTAACCTTGTCGCGCAGGTCCTCCGGAATGTAGCGTTCACATGTCAGCGTCGCGTCAAAGCCGAGCAACGGTGTCATCACGTCGCCGGCAATGTCACAAACCGCACAGAGCGGGAACACGCCGAGCATGTGCCAATACAGCGTGCCCTCTTCCGCCTGGTAACGGCGCAAGTAAAACACCAACCGGTTATCGCACGGATAAATGTCAATCTTAACCACCGCCGTGGTCTGCGGCGTCAGACAACGAAACATGTTCAGCTCGTGCGTGCTCGGCTCACCAGCACACACAAACGTCTCTAACATCGTCGCCTGTCGCCGCGGGTCACCAGGCAACACGCCGTCCGGAATCCCATAGCGGCCGAGAGCGGTCTCCAGACATGGCTCAAAGGCCGCACCCGCCATCGTCAGGATGCTCGGGTACTTCGCGCCCGCATGCGTAAACGCCGACTGCGGCAACAGCTCCTTCGGCAGCATCGGCTGCTGCACCTCTGACGGACAACGCAGAGACCTCGCCTGGTCAATACGCGCATCAATCACCTGCCCCAACCGATTCAAGTTGAACGTCACCGCGAAGTACGCCTCCGCGCCTCCCACTCTCTCCTCCAGCCGCTCCGCCGCCGCCCAAGCACTCGTCGCGATACGTCCGGAAAGCAACGGCTCCAACTTGAAGCCGACTGTCAACTCCGCGGGACGCAGTCCCGCCGGGTCCACGATCTGTGCGACCAACGACACGTGCGCCTGCGGGCGGTCCACCAACGGCGTAATCAGTAGCGGGATCGTCAGACCCTGCTCCGCGCATTCCGTATAACCCTCCAGGAAACGATCCGCCCCGTGACACACCGTCTCCGCCGCATCCTCCGACCGCGCAACCACCATCGAGTCTACACCCAACGGCAGCTTCCCCAAGTCCAACGTGACCGCCACCGGCGGAAGCACACACGCGCTCCATTCCAATCCAAACAACTCCGGCGCCGCCTCAGCCGGCGCCCAGGTCCGCCGCTGCAGCCGCACGGGGGCCGCTGTCTGTACGGCCGGGACCGCAGCCTGGTGCGCGAGCGGGCGCAGAAACGGCGCGGCCATCCGTCCCGCAGCCGCCGCCTCGCCGCGTGCGCTCGGTTCCAAGGCAACGCCGCCTCGTCGCACAGCACGCGTGGCCATTAGCGTCAGCAGCACCAGGTGCGCCAGCGACACGCAACGGTACTTCTCTCTGAAGGCCTGTGCAGTCACGTCCGGCGGACACGGCAGACGCACCTGCCGCTCGCCGTCCATCACTGACGCACCCGCCGCCGACGCCCAGGGTGCGTTGCTAAGCAACCCGCAAAGCGTCTCCAGCGTCTCCCACAGCGACAGCGCCTCCACCGCCTCCGCCGCCTGGTCACGACAGAGCGCCTGTAGCTGGGCGCAGAACCAGAGCGTGTTGAGCATGAGCGCCGCACGCGGCGAGTAACTCACGCTGCTCGTCCACGTGGGACCCTCAAGCACCACGAACTGCACTGCGTTGCGTACGAAAGCCGCAGCCACCGTCCAAGGCAACACCTGCACCTCGCGCAGCGGCAACTGCCCGTATATCGCGCGCTGCTGCGTCACCTGGAGCGCCAGCCACAACAACCGCAGACACAGAAACATCGGCGTCCC